TTATTTAGCGTAGAAAGCGGCTATCGGATGAACGATAATCAGATGATTAATCATTTTCCTAATCATTACGAGTTGTCAAGAAAAGACTTACTCGTAAAAAACATCAAAAGATACAGAAAAGATTTGGAACGTGAAGGGAGTCCCTTAGCGGAAAAGGCTGAAGTTGTTTTACATGGAGGACAAGTTGTAACTCGATACGTTCATCTCGATTTCATCCCAGTAACATTCGTTCTCCCAGCGGATTACAATATGTTTGTCGAGGAATATCGAAAGTCGCCACAGAGTACATGGATTATGAAACCGTGCGGAAAATCACAAGGAACGGGTATATTTCTAATAAACAAATTGTCTAAATTGAAAAAATGGTCCCGAGAAGCAAAGGCACCATTTCACCCGCAATTAAGTAAAGAAAGTTATGTAATTTCCAGATACATTGATAACCCCTTATTAATAGGTGGCAAAAAATTCGATTTAAGATTATATGTTTTGGTGACATCCTTCAGACCATTAAAAGCTTATCTTTTTCAACTTGGATTTTGTAGATTTTGCACGGTTAAATACGATACCAGTGTGACCGAATTAGATAATATGTATGTTCACTTGACAAATGTTAGTGTACAAAAACATGGTGGTGATTATAATAGCATACATGGCGGAAAAATGAGTGTTCAGAATCTTCGACTATTCTTGGAAGGTACTAGAGGCAGGGCTGTTACAGAAACTTTATTTGCCTCTATACAATGGCTTATTGTACATTCACTGAAAGCTGTATCATCAGTAATGGCAAATGATAGACATTGCTATGAATGCTATGGCTATGACATCATAATAGACAACCAGTTGAAGCCCTGGTTAGTTGAAGTCAATGCTTCGCCCTCACTGACGTCTACAACTGTAAACGACCGTATTATGAAATATAAATTAATAGATAATATGTTATCAGTTGTCTTGCCCCCAGATGGAATACCTGATGTGAGATGGAACAAGGTGCCAAATTCTGAGTCTCTCGGTAATTTCGATTTATTAATCGACGAGGAATTTATTGACAAAGACGATGGTACAAATATAGGTGGAAGATCAGTAAAACATAGTAAGAAGTAATTTTTAAATTAAATGTAATATAAGTTCAAATGATAACAGATGTGTTAATAAAATATAATGATGTGTATAATATCGCAAAAAGAAATACTTTTTGCGCACACTTTCAACGTAATATATGTTAGATATAATTTATATTCTGTAATTATGAAATATGTATCGTAAATATGAATTTCAAATGAAAGCGGAAAATAATATTCCATTACTTTGTTTACACAAAAAATATTTGATTTAATCTCAAAGCAAAATGGGATACAATAAACGGAATTGAGAGGCCACGCAATTGTGTCAAAAGCTATCTGTATTGTGATAGGGGTCCAAAGGGATAAATCAACGGTGGAATTTGTTTCTTGTTCGGTTCTTTTTGTGCTTAAAAATTTATTTACCTTTAAGTAATAAAAAAGTTTTTTATTGTTATATAATTACAAAAAATAAACATATATACACAAAAAATGGTGTTAATACGCACTAGAGAATACACAAACAATCTTTATGTAATATATAATACAGGATTGGTAATATCATAAAAAAATATCGTCACAGTAATCAATATTGTAAAGTTAGTTAACGAAAGACGGTCAACAAAAATGATTCCGAAGATTTGTAAGAGTAAATTAATTAATAATTGTGTTGTTAAGAAAAGCCTTAACTGATTGTTTTCGGAATGAGCTGGTTTTGGAGCGATTTCATATAAAAAACAGTGGAAAATTTACATAGTTGATCAAATAGTCATTTATGTAGGTATTGATAAATAAAAGAATAGGTTCAATAGAAACAGTTCATAGATGCGCAGAATACCGTTGATATCGAAACAGAAAAGGAACTATACTAATAATAATAAAATTAAAGAAAAATATAATAAATTAATTCGTAAAATGAATAAAGAGGATGTAATCATAATGTGCACTTCAACATAAAAGATTGTAATGTCTATGCTATCGTAAAATAAATAACTTCAGTTTTTCGGTACCTTTACTTGTATCCTAACTTATAACCTTACGCTTATTTTGTTATCTGCATTTAAACCTAATCTGTCCTTTAAAACCTTTCTCTTCACCTGACCTTTCTCTTTTGGTTATAAATAAACTAACGTAAATTTAACTCAGAAGAAAAAAGTAATCAACGAATATATAAATACATATACACACATGTATTCTACGCTCATTTATATGTGTAAGGGTGATAGCTATGTGGGCCTACAATAATATCTGCTTATTATACTCGTATGTTACAAAAGCCTTGAACTCTTGACTTCAACATTAACCTTATTATTATGATTTTAGTAGATAGTTAAATGTAATTTCATATTATTCTATTTGATTATGACCCTCATCATCATATATCATTTGAAAACACAACAGATTTTATTTTAATGCTGATAAAAATTTTAGTGAATATTTGTATTCATTTGATACGTTTACCTATTTTACATTCTCTATAAGGTTCCAAATGAAAATCTAGTGAGTGTTTTATATTAGTGACAATTAGAGTGCAATAAAATTTTATAGGTTGGTTATAATATCAAGATTGGGAGGAACCAAATTATACATCTAATGAAATGGTAATACTAAACAATTTAAATCGAAGTCTATTGTTTTCGAATACTCTAAGAGTGAGAAAGGACAAAATGAATAAACTAAGGATTTACTTAAAAATTAATAGTACTTCATAACAATTTCATCTCATGAAATGTGAAAATAAAACCGAATGTTGTAAAGGTACCTACTAATACTAACTAACTATTAAGTTTCGCCTTGAATACACCCAAATTTTTACTCAGAATACTGAGTTGACATTCATGAGTATTTAACACAGCATGGAAACTTGACCGAGATTGATATAAAGAGGTTAACAGTTGTACCATTGGAACAAAATATAGAAGAGGCATTCGATTTTGATGGATTTTTTAAACATATTATATGTACTTTTATGTAAAATATCATTAGAGATTTAATTTAGTAAAATGTACGAAACATATCTTGCAAATTCTAATTCAATACATTTATTGTCTGATTGAGAAAAATAAATACTGAATATTATTTCTTATCGTTATTGGTACCGAGTATAGAATATTGCTACATGATGTCAACAATTTCTTAGATAAATTTTCTTAATATCAACCCTGAGAACAATTTATGTTAGGAAGACAAATGGGTACCATAAATTTGATATTTATCACATATAAATAACAAAATGCTTTGAGATATCTATATTTTACCTGTACTTTTATAATTTCATTTGGATAGACAATAATATTTAATTATTATTTGGATGTTAAATATAAGGTATAGTATAAATTTCCACTAATACTTAATCATAAATAATAAGAATAACTACGATTTTTGGATTCCACAGCGGTGATAGTGATAGTTATATAATTTTTCTATATTATACATGCTCTCTCTTCGTGAAAGGAGGAAAAGTATTTGGGGAGAGCGTCACTTAACATAATAGAGAGCAGTAGATCGTAAAATTAAATGTTTTTATTCCGGCCTATCGTCGATGTATCTCAGTTTTATACAGTTATAATAATTTAGTGCGAATTTTATTTCAGAACATAATAACCCCAATTTTTTTAAATTTAATATTAGTGTAAATAAAACTGATATTACGAAGATATTTTTTTGCACAAAATATATTTTGGATATCAACTTATACGACGTTAATTTTCGATTCGGAATGCAAAGTACAATCTTATTTGTCTATATTGATCAACGTCAAATTTACATATCTCAATAAGGACCACAAATGCTTGAAATCCATTAAAACCACTTTGAAGTTAGATGTTCAGACAATTCAATATTAGCGAGGATCTTCAATACGTTCATAGACATGGTACGAAAATAACTTATATTATATATAAAATCAAGATCGAAGTCACTCAATAACAATAAACCTTTGTGTAAATACACACCACTACACTGTAAAAGCCATGATTCACTTTATTATAGCAATATTTTATTATTCATATTGCGAATCATTTACATCCTAAATTAAGAAAATTTCATATAAAATTTTCAACAATCGATAAATATATTACAAGAAATGGTTAAGATGAAACCTTTATAAATGTTTAAAAAAAGATCACTTCATTGAACATTTCGATATATTTGATCTCCATTTTATCCCTACTAATATTATAAATGCGAAAGTAACTCTGTCTGTCTGTCTGTCTGTCTGTCTGCTACGCTTTCACGCCTAAACCACTGAACTGATTTTAATGAAATTCGGTACAGAGATAGAGTTGACCTTGAGAAAGAACATAGGATAGTTTTTATCCCAGACTTTTGAAAGGTTCTCTTGGAAACGCGATATAACCGAACTCCACGCGGCGAAGCTGCGGGCGGAAAGCTAGTTCACTATAAACAGGCTTGATGCGATCTGTTAGAGAGCACAGCGTGATTGAAATATGAATATACAACTTGACATTTTGATAGCTTCTGCTTGACGATATAATACACACTTACGAAACTCGTAGAAGCACGAATATTTGTATTTTACAATAACAAATGAATAAATCTTTTCAAAACCATTTAAAATATTATTTCCGTAATATATTTTTTATGTTAAATATAAAGATGTAAAAAAATTTAACAAAAACAATCAAGACGACACTTAAAAACTTCATTCAAATGTGGAAATTCGTTTTAACCTAGATTGGATAAATAAAAATATGTTTTTATTGTTCCTTAATATAATTATTTTCAATGTTTTTTTTTGTAATTTAAACGAATAAATATACACTATACAAAAATATTTAAAAAACCTTTTCTTTTGTTACCATAAAAACTTAATTTCTTTGAGTATTAAAATTCTATTCGTAGCCATCTAGATCTCTTTCATAGTTTTATTATAATTGTATTTTTCTAATGTCAATAACTCATAAAAAAGTGTTTTGAGCTATGAGAAAGAAGTTAGAACTTGAGGAGAAACCTATTTGCAATGTTGTTTCAGTATATAGAGAAAGAGGGTAAATACGTCAGTTTTTAATTAAAACAGATATTAAAAACAAGAAATGCTATTTATTTTTGCTGCGAAGAGCTTATCAGTCTAATATTTATTATATTTAAAAAAATATACACGATTTAATAAACATGTTTATCACAGAACAACATAATTAAAAGATAAATTCCAGAGGACTAACATTTACATTTCACAGAAATTACTTGCAACGCTTAGAGCAATTCGAGAAAGCAATTTTGGCCTACAACGAAGCGCTGCGATGGAATGTATGTGTCAAAAACATAAAAGATATAATTAAAGAAAAATATAAATATACAAGACTTTATTAAAGTTATTATTTTTATAAAATAATTATAGAAAACAGACGTGCGTTCCCTGCTGGGTCGGAGTTTGGCTCGAGCTAAAGCAACTTATTATACTGGTGCCTTAAGAGACGCCGCTCGAGCAGCTGGTAATATTGTTTTTTATTTAAGTAATACTTAAACCAAATCGAAACTGTTTTTAACATAAAAAATACATCAGGCATCGGGAAGAAGTAACTTAAACATTGTAATTTTATGAAGATAAATTCCCATTTTCACCGCTTTTACTATTTTATCTATGTATTATGTTTCAATTCAGAGAACGATTTACAGAATTGGAGCCAGAAAATCTTACGGCTTTACAGATAAAAGCTCAAACGGAATATGAAAAGTGTGCTTTTGAACGATCGCTTCTGCTTTCATACAGAGGACAACGACTCCGTAAACTGCCACCAAATTTTGAGGACTGTGCTAGATGTGCAGAAGAAACGGTATAAAATCCATATATCTAAAGTATCTTAACTTTACAAAATGTTTTAAAATTTAAAATAAACTACTAAGTTAATTATTTAGTATGTGACATCTTTAACACGCATAGTTTTTATTCAACCAATAAGAGTTTTGTAGACAATTAAATATAAGGAAACACAGTACGATACCTACGAATTATTAAACAGTTATATTATGGAACTTTAGATTTTTCTTCTTCTTACTCAACGAAATTATTTGTTTTGTTTCATAGTGATAAAAATAGCTAAATATATTTGCAAATAAACTCAACATCTATTTCAATTGATATTTCATATCGATAACGGGAATATTTTTCGCAACAAATAAACGTTATTTGTTAATTACTTGAAGTGTGTATGTAAAACAATACAAACAAATTTCAGTTATGTTTTTAATAGTATTTAATAATATTTTAACATTGTAGCTATCTATTTATATTGTATCTATTTTGTGTTACATGAAAAGAATCCAAACGTTTACTTTATCATTCTTTTAAAAGCACTATCTCCTTAATTATTTACATTCATGTCAAATGTAATAAATATCATTAGTCAAATTTATTTCATCATCAAATACTTATTTTTATGTTTATCTTTGTAATAAATTAGAAATATAATATAATATTAATGTCCTAGATGTAATGTAAATTGCGTTATCTCCCACATTAACAGATACGAGAATGCACCGGTCTGAGTGCTTCTAAAATTATGTTAGCTGCCGCAAAATTATCTCCACCAATCAATTTGCTACAAGATTCACAAAACGGTACATCAAGAACTACAATCCGAAAAAGTCGGATGCAATCAGAGTCAACACCACAGGTAATGATAATGATTCGGTTATATCTTTTAGAAATTAAAAATTAATAATAAATATACGTCTATAAAATACAGGAACTAAAAAAATAATAATTCTCAATTATATTTTTATATTGAACTATCATTTGCTGTAGTTAGTATATTATATACTATCATAATATCAAAAAAACGAAGTACTTTCTGTTTGACATTAATAGAATCTAGATTCTACTTAAGAATTACACACAAAAAGTCGTTAAATAAATTGAGTGGTGTGATAAAATTAAATTAAGCTGAATCCCTTGCGGTTCGATTATTTAATTAGTCTAACGTTTAAAGTAATAACAGTTAGGCGTAAGTTATTTTTATAAGTTATTATTACTATTAAAATTATATTAGATATATAATAATAATTTTCGATGTGTTAAAGATTTTTGTTTTCGAAGGTTCAAGAAATATCTCGAGTGGAGAGGAAACGAAACGAAAATATCAGTCGTCTAATGGCATCCAAATATTTGGAACAAATGGCTCACGACAAATATTTCTTAACAGCGTTATATAAGGATGAAAGAATTATTTCCGCTAACAAGAAAGGATCAGAAGAATTACGAGAACTAGCTAGAAGTGCGCTTGCTGACGTTGAAAAACGACAAGTAAACCAAAATAGACATCGTTACGGTATTAGTCTACTATTTACATACATGTTCTGTAAGCAATTATTTTTCTTATGCAGGAAGTTCTTAGAGAACGTAGACCGCTGTATGCAGCACGAGCTCCAGAATCAGAGGCTCGAGCAAGATTATCGAAAGCCCGAAAGCAAAGAATCTTCAATGCTCAACGCCAGCACATAACAGATGCTCGCCGCTTAATAAATGCAACACAAGAAATGTACGAAAAACATGATACCTTAAAATGTCTGGAAGCCGCTGAATTTGGAATGGAACAGTTAGCAAGAATACCAGCAAGATTACTACCGGGGAAGGAGAAACTTTTACAGGAATTACATGACATAGTAGCAGAAGCTTTTCTGGACCAGGTTCTTAATGATTTAACTCAACGAAATAAAAAACTTTTCTTTTTAACACAAATTGTAATCATATGAAAACGTTTATTCACAGAAACGTGTTAAAAAAGAAATGAGCGAAGGAGATCGTGAGAAAAGAGCTTTTATACTATTAGGAATACCGATATCTAGAGAACCGAGTCGAGATTCAATCTTACGTACTCGTCCACCAGCACCTTGTCGGGACGCTAAGTAAGCGAAAAATATTTACCTAAGTTAAACATAGAATGTAAAATCTCTCTTTGGTAAATTTCTTCATTACGTAATTGTATTTTAAACATTAATACTTTTGTTATAACAAAAGGATCTTGCGTATTCTATGTGCTAAAATTTATGCTAATAAAAAAAATTCAATACCACAATCATCTAAACCAGACGAAGACTACGTACGCTAGAACGTTGTTTGACTCTAAGTAGTCATGCTTCTGAACGCTGTTACGTCCTGCATGAGTTATCTCGTCTTCATATTGACATTAAACAAGCGCACAGAGCTCGATTTTATGCTTCTAAGTGCCAATCAGGTAAAAATATCTGAATATTATATAATTTTTAAACAAAATCAAAATATCTAAACATACAAAATGTATCCATTATATTTTCACTAGAATCCAGATCCGCAAACCAACGACTATGGCTTATCAATGCTACATTACTATTGGCACGTTGTCATATCTTACAGAACAATCGCCCTGAGAGTCGTGCTACATTATTAGAAGGGGCAGGACTTGCAAAATCTTTTGGATATCCAGATGTTGCTTCCTTCTTTGACACGGTATTATTTACTTTCGATTCCTTTTATATGAACAATTTATTATAGGTCCCTTAATATGAACTATTACAAAATTAAATCTATGTATTTTGTAACTATTAAACAAGTCTACCGTTTTGTACGTGAACTATTATATAGAGCTACACAACATTGTTATTGTTCTTACTTCAAACATTTAAATGCCATTTAAAAAAATCTAAGAAATCGATTCAATTTACCATATTTTTATTTATTTTTATTGTTTAATCATTTTAAACATTTTATTCGCAACATTTTTCTCTAGTGTGTAGATATATCTCTTGAGGGTGAACTTGGTTCAAATGATTCAATATTGGAAAAGCGTGAAAAAGCTGTGGTCAACTTAATGCAAGACGAGGACATGCGACAGGCAGCTCAACATTTATTCCGAAGAATGTCCGCCATACCCGCATCGAGGTATATTAATCCTATTAGTTTCGTGTACAAGAACATATATACCATCCGTAGATTTTGTATGAATAATAACGAAGTAACGAGGAAATATTTGTTTATTTGTTCCAAACATTTCGGATTTGGTAAAATGTTTGATCAACTACTCGAACAAATCGAAAATTCTATTACTCATTTTAATAAACAATAAAATCGTGTTAATTACTACAAACGGTCAAGATTAAATAAGAGGGAAGGGATGTTTTTTATAACGGTATTTATGATTGAAATTTATTGCAAGCAAGCTGAAGACACAGTTAATAAGTATACATGTATAAATATACATATATAAACGTGTGTGTATATAGATATCCGAGGAAAGTGTTTTAATTTTAGACAATGTTAATCTACATATTATAGAATTCAAATTCTAGCCGTAATTAACTACTGACTGGATAATTCATTGACAACTTCTGATATATATTTTGTTCAAACAGATTTTAGTAATTATTTTAAGTGTTAAAAAAATAGGACATAATTACTTTCTAAATTTGTTTATTTATTTTGTAACAAAGGATATAAATGGCTCTCATTACCTTATTCAAACTGTTGTACATTGTATGTACTTCTATACAGACGGTTTTCCATAATGCCGGGTGCTCGCCCTGATGACACTGCTCCAGTAGGGAATCGCCGAGCCTCTATTATGCCGCGAACACAACTTCCCGCAAGGCGAGTGCGTACCAGTCAACATCCACTTGGCTTTCAAGATTTTGATCTATAGAAATGTATAAAAATATGAAATGGAGAACGTTAAGTACGTTCAATTAAAATTTTAAAATGTTAACTTTTAATTCACGACAAATTAAAATTTATTGATATTGAATAAATGCTTTCAAGATTTGCATGTGTTGGAAGTTGTTCGCAAAAATTATTTGTGATAAACACTTCAAACACAAATAATAATTTGAGAGAGTTTTTAGAAGCTTTTATATATTAAATGTTAACTCAATGGAATTGATCAACATTCAGGCTGAAATTTAATATATTTCATCCATTCAAGAATTTTATGATAAATAACCATTTTTTTAATTAATTCTAAACTTAATGAGTAAAACTTTGGTAAACATAATTTTTTTCTAAGAAATATTAAAAAAACATATTTTTTTACAAAAGCATGTACACTTTGTAGTATTTTAAACAAAAATAAATATTATATCTCTTAAAAATTAAATGCATTTAAAATTTCATTTACAAACATTATATCGCTAGTTTACAATATTGTATTTATGTTCGCTTGAACTTAACCATTTATATACATTTATACTTTGTAGAGATTAATAATAATAGTTTCTCGGCAACAGCATTGTAGATTGTAATAAAGTATTTCTAATTACCAAATAAATATCATCACCAACAAAGTAAGTTACTAATTGATATGTTAAGTTTCTAGTACATTGTTTGAATTGAAACATAAGCTGAAATATTAATCAATCTACAAATATGTGCATTAAAATATACGTAGGTATGCCATGTGATTGCAAATAAACATATGTTGAAAACAAAGTTTAAATTCTTTAGAAACTATTTTGTTAAATAAATTTATACATTTTCAACTTTATTTCAGTAAAGGAAAATACCTTGAATCTACTTTTATAGCTGCATTAGCCATGAAAAATATAAAATTATTTTCATGGAAGCGAGTAATTTTGACATTTTTATTATATATTTCTTGTATGTATGCATATATAATATATATTTTGTAAATTTATCTCTCAAATATATAAGCACTATTTCCTAAAAAAAAGTTAAAACTATATTTTGTGCTGTCACCGCTTGGATGAAAATTTTAGATATCTTTTGAACTCATATTTATGACCAAATATAGGCCATTTGTTACAAATACAATATATTTGTTTAAAAATATCAAATTAGATTTTAAGAGTTCAGTGCAGATTTGATGGCAGATTTCACGATATTTGTTTAAATTTTAAAAAATTTGAAAAAATATTCGTTTATTTTCAAGTTCGCCCTAAAATAAAAATATACACAACAAGAATTTCGTGAAACGCAAGAAAAACTTTCTATATATTTTCAAGGCTTATAGGACAAGATAATAGATCAAGAAAAATTGCTAAAGAAAAACTTAAAGAAATTCGCAACAATATTCTAATAATTTTGATGAGGGACGTTCACTCATGTGACATTGTCTTCATATGAAGGATCAAGTGACAAGGGTCGAAATAAACCTAGTTTGCAATATGACTTATCTGAGCAAACTTCACGAATTCCGACAAAATACTTCCTTAAGTAATTTTACTACGTACAGAAAAGATATTGAGACATATTATATTTTCGACCATAATTTCATCTGCTTCCTTTTTTATTACTTTTTCAACATCAATAATTTTGTACGTACGTACAATCTGTTTTTATTATACATAAGATAATTTTAGACGCCAATCTAAATACTTTTTCAAGAAAGTAGTGTATGAGATATGGTTGGAACAATCAAATTATCAGATTTTTTATACTAATGACCAACAAACACCCTCCCTAGTAATAAATCATAAATCCGATCCAAAGCAAAACTCAGGAAAAAGTGAATGAGGATTTTCAACAAAAACAAACGCTTTTGATAAAGAGATACCCTTTTGAGTACCTAAAGTAAGTTTCTATTACAAAATAGAGGGTTACAAAATAAAGAATTACTGGAAAAATTCACACATAACAGTTTAAATGATCAAGTTTAAAGATATAGTTTCAATAAAAATATAAACTAAGAGCAAATACTTGTTTTAATAATTGTTTAAACTTTCAAAAGCTAAAATAAAAGTATTATTTTCCCAACAAATCAGAGAAAAGTGGAAAAACGACGTAAATGTAAGCAATAAAAATCATTTAATCAATTTTTAATTGAATATTGAGAAGCAAAAATGACATTATTATTTTGTAAAGTTTATGTGTAATTTTAAATTTTACATATTTTTGTTTCCAGAATCGTTTTTCAAAACCACCTCTGCAGTAAATTCGACTGTCTCGTTTAGGTTTTGATGCATGTAAATCCTTTATTTACTAGTCCGTTATGTTTATCAAATAAATATTTTGACGTTCGTTACAAAGACCATCAGGGTGTAACATATAGCGTCCGTTTATTGAAATAGAATGTGTAACAAAAAATTTACACCTGAAACCAATAAAAAGCGACTAGCTATAACGGTATTGACAAAAACTATGTAATTTATAATATAATCTATAATAAATCTATTATCATTTTTAATTGTATGCGGATTTTGTTATAATCAATTTTATTAAAAATAAGGAAACTTTAAATATCAAGTCATACTTCATAGTTTTAAAGACTTGCCTGTTGCAAGGGTGTATGAACTAGTTGGCTTAAAAGAAATAGCGGTTTCAGGATCATAGCCATTTTAAATCAAACTTTCTTCAAAATCTCTCTTTGCCTGAATGGTATGCACATATACATAAGTACTACTATCTGTTAACCCTAGAGCGTTCATGGCTTACAAATAATGACATGTCTTGAAATAATCCGTGTTTTAAATGTTCTGTTAAGGATTCCTTTATAATTTTTGCTACATTTTTATAAAATCAAGCTATCCAGGTTTTTGAAGCTTAATCTGCAAATACAACTATTTTCTTTGCATCGTCTGTGATTTAATATATTTCACTGAAAGTGCCGACTTTATAGCCGCGTGGCGGCCGTTATGGTACAAAGAATGCTGGAACGTTTCTATCACATTATGAGTATATACGAATAGTTGAACTTTGAGCCTAGGGATGGTAGGCTTACGACTTGCGACGGGATTAATGGCATAGTAAAATACTATACCATATGTGTTTAAGTGTGTATTTTATTTGTTGTTGAAGTTTCTGACAAATGTATGATGCAGACCATAAACAATAATTAATCTCAAAAAATTCTCTTGATTATGAGACACTTATCTTGTAAGTTACATAAGAAGATGTTTATGGTGTTGTTGTTATATTAATATGGCATTATTTACATCTCCAATATACATACTATTTAAAAAATCCAAAGGATATAATACAATGTTCCTATATGCTTATTTGTGTTTCTTACATATTTATGATCTTTAAAAGCCTTACAAAAATAACAACTGCCTAAGTAAATAACCAGGTTATAAAAGAATCTATTTCGTATTAAGAATATATCCTGACGATTAAAAGAAAGAGCGAGATTTAACGAGCATTAAAATAATGCAGTGGATAATGGTGTCGCTGGAAGTGATTATTTGTCTCAGACTTCTTTCTACTCTTAATTTAATTAATACAAGAACGTTGAGAGCTTTTACTATTGAAATAAAATTTTCATTTCTTTCGCTTCGATTTTAATATTAAAATGTACATCATAGTCACAGACAGAGTATTAATAAGTAAGAGAATGAAATATCCTTTTTATTATTATAAACTTATTTTTTATTTTTATCGTTAAATCTATTTTACAACGGAAATCTAAGCAAAATATTACAAATATTTTTAATTATATACATATGTATTTATAAAAAATGTAAAAATATATTTTTTAAATGTATACCACGGAGTAATTACATCAAATATTACGATTTAATCATTCATTAAATTATTACTTGGTTCATTTAATTTTAATAACTCTGTGCTATTATTGTAATTATGATTGTAATATACATTAATTATTCTCTATTCGGTAAGCTTCATCATTTAATCAGCTTAATCGTATATTTAAATGAATATATGCAAATGTGGTAATCTGATGGTATTAGTGAGTTTAATTGAAATTATTGTTAACAAACTTTTTTATTCTGAGACAAAAAAAAATATGATAAATTAATTTTGATGTTCTCTGAATTTAAAATAATTACTTATAATTTATAAGCTTACGGTTTATAAGAAAAATTATATTTGTAAACTTCTAATTTAAATTATTTCACGTAATTTAAATACAAACATTTTAAGCAATTTTAACATTACCCCACACCATGATATATGTTTTGCGATAGAACATAAATTGGGACTTATGCACAGATGCTTATAACATAACATGTAACTTGACTTTTTTTTGCTGCCCATATTATTTTAAACGTTAAAATGCTTAAGTTGAAAAATGATTTTATTCTAAAATAAACAAATGTGAAACACCTTAATGATTTTATACACCATATGGCTTACATAATAATGATATGATATCTT